AAAAAAAAAAAAAAAAAGGAAGTTCCACAACGAACACATTCAGTCGTTCAGTTTGAGGAGTGCAGCCACTCGACGCAGGGGCACAGAGGTCGGGGGAGCTCGTAGGGAGCTGTGAGCTCGGCTGAGCTCTGAGGCTCCAAGATTGAGGAGTTGGGAGGAGGACTGGCAGAGGATCCCATGGGGAGAGCAACGTCCCAGAAGACAGAGGAACTCCAGGGGCCCGCCGCATCTGGCAAGGTGGTGATGGGGATGGGTAAGGCCAGTTTTTGGGGGTGTCGGGGGCTAAATCGGGGCGGGACGAGAAAACGGGAGTGCCATGTTTGCTGTGAAAGGCCCCAGGGAGGTGGGTCAGGAGCTGGGGTGCTGGGTCCAGGGGTGGGTCGCAGAGAGGCAGCTCCCTCTGTGTGGAGGTGGGTGGGGCAAGGGGCAAGTCACAGCGTGCAAAAGGACTGCGTGAGCATGTCCATGGTCCTGAGCAGAGGGGCTCCATGCCAAGCCCATGGGAAGGCGGGGCTTTGGGTACACACAGCCAGTGGGAGATGGGCAAGGAGATTCCCCTCAGCACGTCCTTGTCTCTGAAATGGCCCCTTCCCAGAGGGCTGCGGCTGCACGTGAGGCCCTGAGTGAGCGGCAAAGGCCCTGTTTAGGGTCCGGGCTCTCACAGGCCTCCGTGAGGGGCACATGGACTCAGCAGGGTCATGAGGTAAAACCAGGGCAGGTGATTAGAGATGAGTGGTTGGGGGCTGGCCCAGGGTCAGTAGCGGTTGGGGAGGGTGGCCTAGGGTCCATGTGGGGACAGTGGGCTTGCCATGGGGCAGTGTGGGGGGCATGGGAAGCAGTAGGCTTGCCCAGGATCAGTGGTGAGGGGCAGTGGGCTTACCTGGCTTTTCCATCGCCTCATTTTATCTCAGCAACAGGTAACAGTAATAGAGCCAACTGTGACCAGCTTTCTTGTCCCTTCCCCAGAAGCTGGGGAAACCATGCCCCCCGATACCTCCAAGATGCTGAAGCTAGCACAGCAGTGTCTGGAGAGGGCCCAGTCGACAGCCGCCAAGCTTGGTGGGTCCCTGCAGTAGGCGCGGCGCTCCTGGGTCACCCCAAACCTGCATCCCCTTTGTGGGGTGTGGGCCCACCTGCTGACCCCTGCCGATCAATGGCTTGCAGGGAAAACATGCCTGAAGCCAGCCATGCCTGCGGCTGCTCCCAACCCCCAACCTGCCGGCCGACACCGACGTGTATATTCAGACGAAGGAGGGAAGCTCTCTCCTTTTCTTCCGCCCGAGATCTTCCAGAAGCTTCAGGGGGCAGAGTCACAAAGCTCTAAGAAGTAAGATGGGCAAGATGGGAGCTAGGCTGAGGATGGGATTGGGTTTTTGAGGCTGAGGAAGATGAGCTGATCATATTGAATTTAGTTAAAATGGGTCCCAGAACGGGAATATCCTCTTGCCTGACAAAAGCAAATGGGGGCCAGGTGAGGTGCTCATACCTGTAATCCCAGCGCTGTGGGAGGCTGAGATGGGTGGATCATAAGGTCAAGAGTTCAAGACCAGCCTAGGCAAGATGGTGAAACCCCATCTCTACTAAAAATATAAAAATTAGCTGGTCGTGGTGGCAGTCGTCTGTAATTCCAGCTACTCAGGAGGCTGAGGCAGAGAATTGCCTGAACCCAGGAGGCGGAGGTTGCAGTGAGCTGAGATTGCACCACTGCACTTCAGCGTGGTCAACAGAGTGAGTCTGAGTCTCAAAAAAAAGAAAGAAAAAAAAATAGGCATAGTGGCGTGCCCCTGTAGTCCCAGCTACTAGGGAGGCTGCTGTGGCAGGCTCGTTTGGGCTTGGCAGGGTGAGGGTCCAATGAGCCATGACTGAGCCACTGCATTCCAGCCTGGGCAACAAAATGAGACCCTTTCTCAATTAAAAAAAAAAAAAATAGAAAAGGAAAAAGGCTGGGCGCAGTGACTCACATCTATAATCCCAGCACTTCCGAAGGCCAAGGCAGGTGGATCACCTGAGGTCAGGAGTTCGAGACTAGCCTGACCAACATGGAGAAACCCCATCTTTACAAAAAATACAACATTAGCCAGGCATGGTGGCACATACCTGTAATCCCAGCTACTGGGGAGGCTGAGGCAGGAGAATCGCAACCCGGGAGGTAGAGATTGCGGTGAGCTGAGATCATGCCATTGCACTCCAGCCTGAGCAACGAGAGGGAAACTCTGTCTCAAAAAATGAATAAATGAATAATTTTAGCTGGAAACAAGAATAAATTATATGTATATATGGGCCAGGCTCCGTGACTCACACCTGCAATACCAGAACTATGGGAGGCCAAAGCGGGCAGATCATGAGGTCAGGAGTTAAAGACCAGCCTGACCAACATGGTAAAACCCCATCTCTACTAAAAATGCAAAATGAGCCGGGCATGGAGGCTGAGGCAGGAGAATTGCTTGAACCCGGGAATTGGAGGTTGCAGTGAGCCGAGATTGTACCACTGCACTCCATCCTGTGCAATAGCGCGAGACTGTCTCAAAAATATATATATATTGTAAACGTACATACAAATCCTTACATACACACAAAAGTGAGCAAACAGGTTCTTTTTTTTTTTTTTTTTTTTTTTTTGAGGCGGAGTTT